ACAGAGACTTTTAGTACGTCGGTGGGTGGAGGAGCTTGATAGGATGGGCGTGGCTTGATAGCTTTTTCCATGGGTTCCAGATCCACTATCTCTATTCGGAGACAATGGTAGAGGACCAGTGCAGGTGCCCCTCTCCCGAAGCGTACATTTCGGCTAGGAACTAATTAAAGGGCCTTAGATTTTGCTGTACGCTGCATTTGAGAGAAACTGCTGTGCACTGCATGTATCACCTCTTAGAAACTACGTTTCGCTACTGCAAACTAAAGAACCAAAACATCTATGTGCAAGAGAGCTACTCAAACTTGCAATACGATATTTTTAGCTCGAAGATTGGTGGTACGATGCGTATAACGAAATCCGGGAGCCTTTGATTCCCTATGTCTCTTTGGCATCCGGTAACACCTTGTGGACAGCGCTGGAAGGTTCACAGATCTGTCGTGCTGCCGATGACATTTACTATTGGATGCAGTTCTGGGAGAAGATAAGAAAGTAAGTTTCCTACGAAATTTTCTGCCACTCTTCCACTGAATCTTCGCCGAACGGTCTCTAGCGCAAAAAGCATTTCTTCGTCAGTCAAAATATTTTTTATCCTCAGTAATCGGTTTTTTTTCAGAGGAACACTACCGCTGACAGTGAGCCGAGGAGTTGTGTGGGATATGCATCAGTATTACTGTCTTTTCAACAGCTGTCGAGTGCCAGAGCTACCGAAGGATAAGATCTACCGATACTTCAGAACAGGTATTGAGACGCAGTTTCTTTAAGAGCAAGATGCATATAGAAAACACTTTTTTATTGAAAATCGTTTATAATTTCACCAACACGTCAACTTAGAAGCAGAAGGCGACTGTCCAACGCACATTACCGTACTCTGCCGCGGTAACATATGGCGGGTGGAGATGGTAAGGAATGGGTCACTACGAACACCCGACGAGCTCCATCATGTATGAAACTGAGTCTTAGGCTCTTTTCGAGAAACAATCTACAAAAGATTGTTTGTTTCTATTTCAGGTGCTCACATACATTGATAAAAATTCCAAGGAACAAGAATATTGCGTAGCTACGCTAACCGCAGACAA